ACACTGGGTCCGAAAGCTGCCAGTGCATAGTAGGAGTACATAATAACGTGACAGGTTGAATTTAGTAGACAAAATAATAGGATAGCCGGTACCAGTGGATCGACTTTGATGACCAGCCAACCGAGCACCGGTACACTAAAATGATGATACAGGTGCAGCACTGTTACCTGGGCGGGGACAAGTTTTGTAAAAAATATGTAATACATAATATTTATAATTATAATTATAATAACTTATTATCCGATAGTTTTCAAATATGTTTACTAATTAATATTTATAAAAAAAAATTATTTATTAAATAATTACTTAATAATAATATTATTAAATAAATTAACTTGTAGGGTTTTTAAATAATTTATATATATTAATAATAATATTATAAAAAATATAAAAATTATATTATTTATATAATATAAAAAATTATTAATTTAAATTAAATTATTAATTAATATAAATTATTAATTTAGATAAAAATCTATAGACATTAATAACTATAGATATAACTATAGATATAAATATATATATATTAATTTGAGTATTAAAAAAGTCACCATTTATTTTTTACTAACTAGTATTTAAATTAAATAATTATATTATTTAAAAATAAAAATAAAAAATAAATATTGGTACCTGGTTAAATTTTTTGCGCAATACAAAAAACACTGTATCCATTAGGTCGACAAATTTGCTCAAATAAAACCAATACATTATTTGGATGGCATGTATAACATTGGGTGATCGATCGGTACGATCGGGCGCCTGTAGATTAACCAATCGTCGGCCAAATTCAATAATAAATACATATTCATACAGGAAATAGCCGTTCAATAGGACCATCATTATGTTATAGATGAGCATTGGTGTACGTAATTCAATTGGACGGCAGCACCGGTAGCTCATTAGTTGGGGTCCCAATAGTTTAACAAATAGCAAATATAGAAACATTATGCTAAGCATAGGTATGGGTCCGCCAGACATCAATGGATAGCCCTGGACCCGGGGGTCGCCCTCCCGGTTCCAGAATATATCACTTAGACAATAGATTGATGACATTTTTTTTATTATTAAAAAAAATTATTATTATTATTATTATTATTAAAAGTTTGTAAACAAAATTTTATTTATTTAATTTTTTAAATATTTTGTCGATTTCCAAGTTTATGACCAAAAAAAATAAATTCAATATTTTTACAAAATGTTTTCTGTTTATTTATTTATTTCGATTTTTTAATTAATTTATATATTAATTATTAATATATTAAAAATTATTTTTTTTATAAAAAAGATTTAAACTTGAAAATATTATTAAAAAATTTGAATTAACTGATTAAATAAATTTATTAATTATTTACTTTTACACAAACTTAATGATTGAATTATTAGTTTTTGTTTTGAATATTATATTTAAATTATTTATTATTAATTTAATATAATTTTCAATTAAAAAAATAGTTAATTAGCAAAATAAATAATATCATCAAAAAAAAATTCAATGTAAATGTCACTGATTTTTCAATAATAGATTCATAAATGTATACAAAAATTTTTTTTGATAACAAATAATACAAATATAACTTAAGTCACAACTAAAATATATTTTATTTGTATTAAAATTTTTCATAAACTTTTCATGAAAAGTAAAACTGATTTCTTACAAAAATTTATTGAATAATAATAATAATAATAAATAATATCTGAAAAGTTTTTCCTAATTAAAAGGAAATATTTGTGTAAAATTCAAAATCACATATAAAATAGTAATAATAATAATAATAATAATAATAATAATAAAACAAAAACAACTGTAATAAACATTTCATATTATAATTACAATTATTATATCATTTATGTAATAATAATAATAATAATTCAATATATGATAAGACTCTCTCTCTCTTTCTATTACTCTCTCTATTACTCTCTCTCTCTCTCTCTCTCTCTCTCTCTCTCTCGTGTTTTGTATGTGTTATTAATTTATGTGTGATTTATAAGTAGATTAGAAAACAAAATACAATTTACTGTTTAAATTACACGAAACAAAAAAAAAGTAAATAAATAAATAATAATATTTTTAATTTATTTAATATTTAATAAAATATTTTCCTTTTGCCCCTATTATTGTTGTTGTTGTTATTATAACTAATAATAATAACAAACAAAAATAATATTTATTATTATTATTATTATTATTATCGTCTAAAATGTCACTAATAATTTAATTTAGAAATAAATTTACTTGATATATTTATTTTATTTTTTAAATAATAATAAAATTATCATTATACAATTGACAATAGCTAATAAATTTTTTAAAAATCAAAAATGTCTAATTTTGTTAAATCATATATATTATAAAGTATTATAAACTTTAAAATATTTTATTTTTTTTAAAAATAAATATTGTTATGACATTATTATTTAATAAAGTAGTGTTAATATAATTATCTATAATAATAATAATAATAAATTTTGAAATTGTTAATAATTATAGCTTAAATACATAGTTAAATGATTTATTATTAAAATAATAGTTTTTTAAAGTTTTCATATATTACTACTAGTATTATACAGTATATATCAATAAGCTATTAAAATAAAATTTTTAAAACTTATTAAAACATTAGTAATTATTTATTATATAATTTCATTAATATTTTTCCAATTAAGTTTATTTGGGTTAGAAATTAAAAATCTAATCAAAATGAAATTTGTGTAATTAATAAATTGATTTTTAATTAGCAAATAATAACTATTAGGCTATATATATGATCGCAATTGTATATTATTAGTTTACAATTGTTTATAAACACTTACACACACACACACACACACACACACACACACACACACACACACACACACACACACACACACACACACACACACTAACACACACACACTAACACATACACACTAACACATACACACTAACACATACACACTAATACACACATACACACAATCACACACACACACTCACACTAACTGTCTTTTTCAATCAATAAAATAAATCTATAGATATTTAGTCATTGATAGACAAACATCATTGCTGTCGATATCATTGTTTGTCTTAAATGTAAAAGAAAACCCAACTGTCCATCAGTTGCTTAAGTAGTTTATGTTGTTGTTGTTGTAAATGCTGTAAATTTGTTCATTAAAACAGCAACAACAACAACAACAAAACGGTATCTTATATTTACCATTTTGAATGCCAGTTAGAGATAACTGTTTTTTATACAGTTCCTATAGTTAGACCTACCTGTTCCCCATAATGTTTCTAGACTATAGACAAACTATAATATACTGTATAAATAATATCAATATATAATATATATATTAGTATATCATAAAAACTAGTTGTTAACTTGTTTTTGGTTATTATTTTTAAAAACTAAAATTTAATTTAAACATTTTTCAAAAAAAAATATTTAGTATTATTAATATAATTATTATTTTTCTAATTTAATTACTATTTTTCTAATTGGAAATCATAATAAAATAAATACATAAAAATATTTCTATATTATAAAAATACTAACAACAAAAACAAATTGGATATAAATTTAATAATTTAAATAGTTAACCTTGACGATTTTTTTTAATAATATAAAATATATAATATTTCATTTAAAAATTAAATAATAAAATAAATTTAGCATAATAATAATAATAAATAACGTTAAGTTTGTTATAAGTATTATGTTTTCTTTTTTAAAAAATAGTTAATTTTTATATTGTTTTTTATTTTTTTGAAAAAAATGTATAAAAATTTTTATGATTTAGATATAATAAAAATTACTACTAATGAAAGTTTTATATTTATTGAATTTTTTTAACAAAAAAATAATTTTTAAATCAAATAATAAAAACATTAAACACTAAAAAAATAATATATTTTATAAATAATATATTTTATAAATAATATATTTTATAAATAATATACAAACTAGAAAATTACATTTTATCACGTAACATTTTTTTTATTTAAAAAATAATTTTTCAATAAAATTTTATAACATAATTATATACTTTATCATTTGAAAAAATGTATTGTAAATATTATATATATGTATATTAAAAATATGTACTTAAATATACTTGTATATTTATTATTATTATTATTATTATTATATATCAATACATCATAGTCATCACAATCAACAAAAAAAAATCAATGTTAAAATTTTTAACTTAAAAATATGTTTCAAATAAAATATCAAAGTTTCAATTAAATTATTTAGTTTTTTTATATATATATATATATACTACTGTATCGATTTTAGTATTGAGAAACTTTTTTTTTAGAAAAAAAAAATAATAATAATATTTATTTTACCATGTAGTTATCAAAATTTTTTAAAAAAAAATTAACAAACAATAAAAAAAACTGTAAATATATAATTATTTTTAGTAGTAGTAGTAATTTTTTGGTACTAGTTTTGCAAGTTATTGCAACTAAATTATTATTATTATTATTAAATTATAATTATTTTTACATACAATAGATGTTTCAATCAAATTGTATGTCACTGATGATGATGATGTTAATGATGTTAAAATGTCCTTGTTCAATTTACTATACATTTTTTAAATAAATTAAATTTTTTTTATAATAATAATAATATTTTTTACGATGTTTGGTGTGTGTGTGTGTGAGTGTTTAATATAATAATAAAATATATATTATTTTTTTTTTTAAATTATTAGAAAATAATATAAATTATTTAATATTTGTTATAAAATTGTATTTTTGAAAATATTTTACTGTAAAAAATAATAATATCATATTTAATATTTTGTTTGATATATAATATTTTTGTAAATTATTTTTTTTGTTTGTTAAATAAATATAATAATTTAGTATTAAATGTAATAATAATAATAATATTATTATTATTTTATTAAAAAAAAAAATTAAAACTAATGTCTACTACAACTACTACCACTACTACAACAACTACTACTGATAATAATAATAATAATAATAATATTGAAGAGGAAATACCTATGAGTTATGCCTCACGCGATAGCAATGATAGACTTAATCTCTATTGGAAAGGACTGTCGTATGAAACCGATGATGGATTGCGACAGAAAAAGACAATTATCAATGACCTGAACGGCCATATATCTAGTGGACAGTTGACTGGTATATTGGGACCGTCGGGTGCCGGCAAATCAACATTCATCGAGTGTTTGGCCGGTAAACGTAGGACTGGACTAAAGGGACGGGTTTGGGTTAAACATAGTGTCGATAAGTATGTAAACTATTTTTATTTTATTTTATTAATTTTTTTGAAACATTAATTTTAAAATTATAATATTTTTAAAAAATATATTTAAACTATTTATTATTATTATTATTTTTCAATATATATACTTATTTATCTAATTATATTAATTATTTAAATATTTTTATTACATATTTAATTTTAAAATAATGTTTCATATTATACTAACATTAAATTAAGTTTTTTTATGAGTATTATATACAAACTTAAAAACAATTAAAAATAATAATACAATCATCATCAATCATATTAATTAACTATATCCTAATAAAAACTAATAATAATAATAACTATTAGTTAAATAATTTTATTTTCTTTTTGGTTTAAAATATAAAAAATTATTTATATAAATAAAATTTCTAATAATAAGTTAAATTGTTTAAACTATTATCAGTATTATTAAAAAAATTATTATTATTATTATCATTCATATAATTTAGGAAAGTTCACATAAGATTGGCATATAATGCACAGTTCGATGCACTGATTGATGAACTGACCGTCGAGGAGGCGCTCAGGTATGCATCCCAGTTGACCCGTAAGACACATAAACGGTACGATTTTTTTCATACCGATCCCCAACATCAACAACAACAACAATATGATGAACCAAATAATAATAATAATATTGTTGTTGTCGATGATGATGATGATGACGACAAGCACCGGGAGATTGTTGACCACAAACTATTGGATACTACTAATAAAAGTGAGGACAATAGTCAGTGCACAACAAAAGCCAATGATAGCTATGTTGATTCAATGATTAATGCTATCGGACTGACTAACTGTGCCCGGGTTAGGGCAGCCCAGATAAGTGGCGGCCAAAAAAAACGACTGTCCATTGCCCTGGAGCTGCTATTTTCGCCAAATATCTTGCTATTGGACGAACCGACTACCGGATTGGACTCCCGTTCCTCCTATCAGTGTCTATCATTGTTGAAAACATTATCCTACAATAGGGAACCGTTAATTATTGGTCTATCCATACATCAGCCGACGGCCAGATTGTTGGCATTTTTCGACAATATATATGTACTATCGGTTGGCGGCCAATGTGTCTATAGTGGACCCACACAGACACTCATTGAACACTTATCATCATTTGGTCTGACATGTCCTGTAAGTCATATATATATATATATATATACGGTATATATATATATCAATAATAATGTTTATTGATATTTAAAATTATCTAACATTAAAATTAGATAAACATTTCAGTTAACTATTTAATTATTTGTATATATTTAATATATAAAAAAAATATTATTAATATAATAAGTTTATTTATAATTTAAACTAATTATTAATATTTAAAAAAATACTTATTAATTAAACTAATTAATTAATTAATCTATTATTAGTTAAACTAATTATCGAATAAACTTATTATTAATTAAACCTAATTATTTACAAATCTATTAATTATTATTTATGTTTTTGTCTATTAATTTTCAATGACTAAACCAGATCTTTCATAATCCGGCCGATTATGTCGTAGAGGTGTCCAGTGGCGCACATGGATTAGCTGTAAGATATTGATACTGATAGCCCATCACATCCCACTCCACCCCACATCCCATTCCTAAGCTCAAACACACACACACACACACACACACACACACACACTAACTAACTAACTAACTAACTAACTATCATCTATTAAATACCTGTTTATTATTATCATTATAAAACCAGACAATCGACACACTTGTCCACTACGAACGGGAACATATGCTACCCGTATTGGCCGCCAACAGCAAACAAGTGGCCAAACACGAGATCGTAGTCTATTCAAAAAGGCCGGACATCGGATCGCAAACCGACATCCAGAAGCCCGTTGGCGAACAAATCCGTGATCTATGGTGTCTGACTCGGCGGTCGACAGTAGTAACCAATCGACATCCGATAATATTTTGGTTACGTATTGTCGGTCTGGGACTGTCGATAATGGCCCGCAAGTTGACACTCATAGAGAATACTGATGCCGACGGCGGCAATGGCGGACAATCGGACAACTTGTCCGCCGCCGCCGATGACTCGAATACTATATGTACCGATTCGGATACGGTTTTCCGGCTGGTCAGGGGTATGATTGGCGGTACGGTTACCCCGCAACGTGCGATGAACAATATCCGACACATTGGCAACGTTATGTCCGTAGTAATGTTTGTCTATTTGGTGACCATAGTACCGACCATGGTCACATTTCCCATTGAGCTAAATACATTTGTCAAGGTTGGTTAGATTTTCTTTGGGGGGGGGGGTTGGGTTAGGTTAGGTTAGATTTTTGTTAAATATATATATATATATATATATGATATAATTCCTAATTATTATTATTTTAAGTTTATATATTAATTTTTATTTAAATAATATAAAAAAAAATTTACAAATAAATAGCATTAACAATTTACGGTACAGATTACTTATAGTAATTTAAACTTAATAGTAGTGTGTGTGTGTGTGTGTGTGTTGTGTGTGTGTGTGTGTGTGTGTGTGTGTGTGTGTGTGACATCTATTGATAAAAAATATATATACAAATAAACTAGGTTATATACTGTAGTCAAGTTTTATTTTTTTTTATTTTTTTTTGAGTTATTTTTCAACAATTATAAGTACTAATCATAATAATTTATTTATTTAATATATTATTATTGTTATTATGATTTATTTATATATAACAATATTTTACTATAACTAAATAATTTGGCTTGATTGATTGTCTATAAAAAAAATTGCAATTATTAAAATATTATTAACTATAAAGTTTATTAATAATTAATTTGTTATAGTTTTTAAAATATATCTATATATAAATATATAACATAACAATAAGCACCCCCTCCCCCCCAAAAAAATAACAAAACAAAAATATAGATAAAAATAATTATTTAGTTTATTATTATTATTAAATAATTTGATTTTTTATTTTTCTATTATCTAATTTTCAAAAAAAAACAAAAAAATAATTTAATTTTCAATTTTTATGGGTGTATTAAATTAAATAAATAAAGGAAAGGTTCAACAAATGGTATACTACGTGGTCATACTTTATGGCCAAATCAATTGTCGACATACCCGTAGTAGTGGTCATACCCGTAATCTACGTAACCGTTATGTGGTGGATAACCGGCGAGGAATGGGATCCGAAACGCTATCTATTAACCCAATTGGTCGTCCTATTGGTATCGATAGCGTCCCATAGTCTCGGTCTATTGGTTTCGGCATTTTTCATCAACAATATTAAGGCCAGTCTTATATCCCTATTGTTACTAATGGTACCGCAGATTATGTTTAGCGGTAATCTCCTACCTATCAGTGTTATGCCCTATTGGATACAACAACTAACCTATTTATCATTGTTTAGGTAATAATTTATTAAAATTAATTTATTAATTTTAAAATTATGTTTAATTTATTAATATTAAAATTAATTTATTAATATTTTTTTTAAAAAAATATATTAATATTAAACTTTTATGTTAATTTTTTGTATGCGCTAAATATGTGTAATATTAAAAAAAATATTAATAATAAATCATTATTTTATATTGACTATGTAATATATATATATATATATGCTTAAAATAGCATAATAAAATTTTAATGCATTTTTTAATCTAAACTAATTATGCTATTTTTTAAATAAATATATTTGACATTTATCTAGTTTATAAAATATTACAGTCTATTTACCATATTTAACAAATAATATAACATTTTATAACTTATTATTAAAAAAAAATATTATTTATTTATTTATTTATTTATCTAGTATAATTTTCTATTATTCAATTGCACACATTATACAATATTATAAATATATATAATTTTTATTCTAGGTTTTAAATAAATAATTAATTAATAATTTTATGAAAAAAATAAATTCTAATAATTATTATAATTTTTTTTTTAAATTTAAATATTTTAATTAATTATATTTATTTATTAATTTTTATAGATTAGCCGGTGAGGCCATGTTGGTCATAGTATTTGGTTTCGATAGATGTCCCGGTGCTCTGGAGCCGATAACATTTAGCCACCTGAGCCATCACTTAGGTATGGATATGTCGGTAATCAACGATTGTATGGATTGGTCTCATAGTACGGAAAATGTTACCGCAAACGGTTTGTCGGCATTCAATCGCTTCCTACTATCGACTAATCCGTCAAAAATGCTAGACTTTTACGGTCTAAACGATAATACACTTACTATTAGTATTTTATTACTATTAGTGCATACAATAGTATTGCGTATATTAGCCTATTATGTATTAAAATATCGGACAAGTGTTAAATAAAAATTATTATAACTTTTTTTTATTATTAAAAAAAAATTATATTTATATATTTATATAACTTTGTATACATACATAAATATGTTAACAAAAAAAATATTTGATTTAAAAATTAGTTTTTTCAAAACTAATGATTTTTTTAAATATTAATATGAAATAAAACTTTTTTATTTAAAAAATTTATTTCTTAATTATTTCCGAAATTAAATTATTTAATATAATATATATATAAATTTATATTTAAATATCTATTTTTAATTAAAAATTAAATGTTTACAGTTTTTTTGTGTATGTATGTAAATTTAAATATTTATTTTTACAGTATTTAGCAAAAAAATATATATAAATACTTGAATACTTGACAAATATGTATCATTTAAAAAAAATATTTAAATATGTAATTAATATATTGCTATTTTATACTGGAAAAATTATAACCTTAAAAAATTTATTGGTGTAATCAATAGTATTATATATATATATATATATATGTCAATAATAATATTAATATAAATATTAATAAGTTATTGATGATTTATTAACCATATAAATAATTTTTATAAAATGTATTAGTAATCATTAATTTTAAATAATTTTTATTAATAATAGAAATTATAAACTATAAAATATTATTTGACCATGAACATTATGATTAATTTATTAATAAAAAAAATTATATACATTATTATTTAATTAATCATTATTTTAAAAAAAAAATATTTAAATAATACATAATATTTCACAGTAACAACAACAAAAAATTTTATTTAAAATAATATTATATTGTTATATAATTGTCTATTTCAACAACACATAGCAACAAGCAATTAAATAAGTCATTTATTTTATTTTAAAAAATATATTATATATAAAAATAAAATAAAATTTTGAAATATTAATTATGAAAATATTAATAAATTATAAACTTATTTAGACAACAATTGTTGAATACTTAAATAAATATTATAAAAATAAATAAACTTACTGTCATAAGTAAGTAAGTAATCAATTGATTTATTATACAATTTTCAATTGAAATTAAATTTAATTTCATATGATTTTTTTGATTCTGAATTTATTATTATTATTATCATAAAACTAGTTTTCTGTATAATATATATATTAATATATATATAATATTTACTTAATATAAAGTTTATATAGACTTTATATTAAGTAAATATTATATATAAGTACTTATATATATATAATAAAATTTATATATATATGTTTAGTACTAATGTATTTATAATTACAATATTAACTATTTATAAATACAATTATAGCATTTTTCTTTTAATAACTAATTTATATGGAAATATTAAAATTCAATGTCAATTGCTTTATCAAATTTGATTACTAGTTTTTATTTATTTTATTTTAGTTTTTATTTATTGATAAACTATTAATAATTAATATTACCAATAATTATGGTAAGAAAATTACATTAAACTAATTACATAGATTAATTAAAAATTATTATTTTATTTTTAAAAAATACACTCTTAAGTACATAATATTAAAAATTTCCCTTTAATTTAATCAATAGTTAAAACAATGTTTAAAACATTTTTCAAAAAAATTTAATTTATAAATCATTAATATATATATACAGTATATTAAAAGATCAATACATTAGACATTATTTTTTGTTTAGATTTTAGTTTTATTTTTGAAAAAAACAAATACTAAAGTAAATATTTTTTATTATATAGTTTTCAATTAATAATAACTATTAGTAAATATATTAAAATTGTTTTATGGTTTAAAAAAAATAAATCTTTATTATTGTTATAAAATTATGGATATATTAAATAATGTTAATAATAATAATAATAATAATAATAATCCAATAAATGATAATTGTTTTAATGATAATCGTATTAATATCTATTGGAAAGGACTGTCCTATGAATTAGTAGACAACAACAAACAAAAAGCAAACAAATTTATAATCAATGATCTGAACGGCCAGTTATCCAGTGGACAGTTGACTGGTATATTGGGACCATCGGGTGCCGGGAAATCAACATTTATTGAATGTCTATTAGGAAAACGTAGGACAGGCCTATCGGGTCGGGTATGGGCTAAACATAGTAGCAATAAGTAAGTCTTGGTATATAAAACTAGATAAATAAATATTGAAAATTAATTTTTAATAATTATTAATTTAAATATATTAGATTTAATTATTTGCTACTAATTACTATTAAATTTTTTATTTATTAAAATAACTTTCGATATATATATATATATATATATATATATATTATCTGTATTTTTATATAATTAAAAACTTTAGAATTTATTTAATTTAATTATATATTTCAATAATTAGTAAAAAAAATTAATTTTAATATTATAGTAATTAATTTAAGATATATAGAGGTATATGTATATGTTTTATAAGTTATTATAAAATTTGAGTTATTATAATATTTAATTTTTTAGAACTGTTATAAATAAATTATTTTTGAAAATAAATTATTTATAAAAATTTAAATTAAACTAATAGTAATTATTTATATCTAATTTTATATATATTTATTTTGTTTTAAAAACTGTAACAAATTAATGATTGACTTATTTGAAAGATATATACATTTTATATAAATTTTATATATAGTTTCGGAGGGAGGAATGTATTTTAAAAAAAATTAATTAAATTTATTTAAAAATTATATTTCATTAAAATTTTTTATATTACTGTAAATTTATATAATATAATTTAAAATTAGAAATTAAATAAATTTAGAAATAATATAAAAATAACAATAAAAACTGTAACAAATAAATTATATAAAATATTGAAAATTTAATATAAATTTTAACTAAATCTGCTAGACTTGAGATTACATTTAATTTTTTAAAAATTTAATAAAAGTAACTTAATATATAAACATAAAATTTCTTTTAAATGGTTTATTTAATAGTAAATTATTTTATTTATTTAATACATATTTTTTCTATTTGCATTTAAAGTTTATATTTATAATTTTTTTTGCATTAATTATTATATTTTAATTGATAAAAAAAATAAATACTTTACAGTAATTTAGCTAAAATTTGATATCTATTGATATCTATAGCAAAAATTTAGAAAAAATAACTCAAATAAAATAATATTTAAAAATTTTAGTTATTATTTTGTTATTATAATAAAAACTGTAACAAATTAATTGTTGACTTATTTGAATAATTTAAATATATTTTTATAAACAATTTATATATAGTAATTAAGAGATTATGAATTAAAAAATAATAATTTAATTATTTTATTAAAATTATTATAAATACATATAAAATAATATTTTTAATATATATATATATAAATATATTTAATCTTAAATTATATATTTTTTTTTAAATATTTATTTATTTATTTATGATATTAAAGGAAAGTCAAACTGAGGATAGCCTACAACGCACAGAACGATTCACTGGTCAATGAGCTGACAGTAGACGAAGCGCTTAGGTATGCCTTGCAATTGGCCGGTAATGCAATCAGTAATAAACGGTACGATTTGTTTCATACCGGTGCTGCTGCCGTACAAATGGTTAGCCATGGTTTAGGTAGTAGTAGTAGTGATACTAATAATAATGTAAAAGAGGAACCGTTAGATCGTAAATATAATATCAATGATTATATTGACGATCAGGAAGTCATTGATAATAATAATACTAAACGAGAAACTATTGCAATGTTAAGACACAGTAGTAGTAGTAGTAGTAGTGATGATAAAACAATAGACAAACCGTTAGCCTCCCAGAGCTTATCAACAACAATAACACCGCCGCAACTATCCGATGATGATCTATATGTTCAACAATTGTTGAAAGCCATAGGACTGGTTGGCTGTTCGCATGTTAGGACCGGCAGTATTAGTGGCGGTCAGAAAAAACGACTGTCCATTGCCTTGGAATTGATATTTTCACCAAATATCTTACTATTGGACGAACCGACTACCGGTTTGGACTCTCGTTCCTCCTATCAGTGTCTGTCACTATTGAAAACTTTGTCATCGAATCGGGAACCGTTGATAATCGGTGCGTCCATACATCAGCCGACCGCCAGATTGTTAGGTTTTTTCGACAACATATATGTACTATCGGTTGGCGGCCAATGTGTCTATAGTGGACCCACTCAGACACTGGTTGAACATTTGTCGGCATTTGGTCTCAATTGTCCCGTAAGTCCCATAACATATTTATATATATATATATATAAATCCAAAACATATAGATTACATAACTTTTCAATATATATATATTACTTATTAAAATACAGATAATTTATTTTTTAATTATTTGTGTGTTAACTACTATACAATATATATCGATATATATATATATATATATATATATATATATATATATATAAATGTTTAGGTATTTCATAATCCGGCCGATTATGTCATAGAGATGGCCAGTGGTGGACATGGATCTGATGTATGTATGATATCTCATGATATATAAAACTTTAATTACTATACTATCTATTCATATCTTATATATATATATATATATGTTTAGCCAATTGAAACGTTGGTCGCCTACGAACGGCAAAAGTCACGCGCGTTGCTAAACACGCATACAATTGCCAAACACGAGCTAATTGTCGACCAGTCGAGTAGTAGTAGTCATCGTCGGGGAAACAGTAGTCGTAATGCTATGGTCAACAATCGGGCTCAGAGATGCCAGCGCACAGTATGGCGTCAAGTGATGGACACTTGGATACTAACTCGACGGTCGGCACTCGTAGCCCGCCGTTCGGCACTGGTAGTCTGGCTACGGTTGGTCGCACTGGTAATGGTATTAATAACACGTAAGGCAGCCCTACTGGAGGTAAACAGTACCGATCAGCCGGATATTGAATGTATGAGCCTATGGACGGCTGCCAAACTAGTTGCCACAGTTGACCGCGATCATATTACCCTGAATGTTGGCCTAAAATTTGTTATATACCTGACCAATATAGCAGCCGGTCTACTATTTGCCCATTTGATTGGTGTATTTCCCACGTTGTTTACACTGGCACTGGAACTTAATACTATGATCAAGGTAAATTAATTAACTAATTTATTTATTAGCTAAATCTATCCAGGATAAATTAGTTTATATTTTTAGCTAAATAAATTTTTTTTATTTAAATCAAGTTTATATATATAAATATTTACATTTTTGGTTAATTTATCTAGATAAGCTATACTATTCTATTTTTTTTATTTTATTAACAAGTTAAATTTATTATTTTATTTTTTTTCATACACCAGGAACATTTTAACAATTGGTATTCATTCAAGTCGTACTACATAAGCAAAACATTGGTAGACCTACCGATTATCATACTGTTTACAGTTGTCTACAGTATTATCGAAGTGGTCATCATTGCCGACCGGGATTGGGATCTATGGTATCTGTGCTCAGTTACCTCTATATTTCTGGTTATTGCTAACGTATCGCACAGTTTGGGCATATTTCTATCGAGTCTATTCATTAATAATGTTATGCCCGGTTTGGTTATTTTTTCCGTGATATTTGCCGGCAATTTTATGTTTAGCGGCTGTATTATATTGATTAGACAAATGCCCGTCTATTTCCAATGGTTTTCCTATTTATCAATATTTAGGTAAATATATTGATATATATATATATATACAATATACGTAATTTATGTTAACATACGTAATTTATGTATGCAAACGTAATTTATGTATGCAAACAAAATTTATAATTAGAAACGTAATTTATGTTTTACAAACGTAATTTATTTTTACAAACAATTTATGTATAGTAACGTAATTTATGAATACAAACATAATATATCTATACAAACGTAATTTATTCTTTCAAATATAATTTATGTTTACTAATGCAATTTATGTTAAACTAACGTAATTTATGGTTTCAAATGTAATTTATGGTTACAAACGTAATTTATGGTTACAAACGTAATTTATGGTTACAAACATAATTTATGTAATTAATTAATCAAATATATTTATATATATATTGTAGGTTGGGTGGCGAAGCACTACTACTACAAGGTTTCAATATTAAGCCTTGTCCTAATTCAGCTGACTATCCCATATCGATGGAACAGTTAGGCTGCCAAATGGGTGTCGACATGTCTATTGTTAACGATTGTATGGATTGGGCTGATTCTACAGCCAATATGACACAGTTTGGTTTGGATACGTTCAATAGATTTCATAGTGTCAGTACCCTGGACAAAATTATTAGTGTAGTCAAATTGGAGCCGCATGATCTGTATATAAATTGTACCTTGCTAACTATTTATTCAATACTGTTAAGAGTCATAGCTTATTATATTATTAAAAGAAAATTACTAAATTAGACTAAAATGATGATAATTATTTTAATTGTATATATATTTTTTTCTATCAGTGTAACAAACAATTTTTGTAAATATAATAAAAATATAATAAAATCAATTATTTTCTAATATTTATCAACTTATATCAATTTATCAATTTAATTAACATTAACAGTAATAGTTTTTTTAAATGTTTTTTTTAATAATAATTTTATTTTCAACTAGGCGTGGTTCACATATTACGTTCGCACTTGAGGGGAGGGGGGGTTGGCCAAAGCGAACTTTTGCGAACGAGGGGGAGGGGAGGGTTATAGTCTTTAAGAACGTTCGCATTTAGATAATATTTTATTTCTTGTGGTGGGGGGGGGTAGTGGTTAGGGACATGCGAACGTAATTTTTTTAAATGACTACATGCGAACAATTGCGAACATAGGGGAGGGAGGGGGTCTAGATTTTTTAAAAAGTGCGAACGTAATATGTGAACGACGCCCTATCATTTTATCGTGAATTTAATGTTTTAAAGTTTATATTGATATAGTATTTCGTATTAATTTAGTAATTAATTTTTTTAATTTTTTTCTTAAAGTTTAGATATATATTTATTCATCATCATCATCATATGATCTAGTACAAATTATAAGTAATAAATATTGTTTAAGAATTAGCTATTTAATCTATTTTTTTTTTTGTTATTGTTATTATTAATAATTAATAATAAACATGATAACTAATAATAATAATAATATCAATAATATTATTAATTAATTAATTATTTCAATCAAAATCATATGACTATTTCAAATGTCATTTACTTAATGAGTAAATATTTATAAATAATAATCAAAAAAAAAAAAATTATTACTTGATAACAGATTAATAGTTAATTAAAAATATAAATATTTTCAATTACATTATCAATTAATAACATTGAGTTTTTTTACATTTTAAAAATAATGTCAAATAATTATTTAAAATAAATAATTTAATAATATTAATAATACTAATTATTAATTAGAAAAAAAACAATAACTATTATATTTTTATATCTTATTTAATGATATATTTTTTTTTGGAAAAACAAAAAAATTATAACAATTTTTGTTTACAATTTTTAGAAAATAATTAATCAGTTTAATTGTTATTTGTTTTCATGTTAATTAAATAATATTTATTATTAATAATAATTATTTTGTTTTTTCAAAATAATACTGATAAAATTAATTATTTATTTAATTTATTTCTATATAAATATAAATTTTTTTAATAAATACTAAATAAAAATTTTTATACATTACAATTGAAAAAAATTTAGAGTTTTTTTTTATTATTTATTATTATAGAGTGTTTAACAAAAACAACAATAAAAAAAACATGACATCAATTAGTAATATAAATTTAAATGATCATGGTACTTTGAAATTAAGTACACCCAATTTATCGACTGGCCTAGAATATATTATCGAAGATATACTAGATTATATAAAAATATCATCTAGTCAATTTAATCAAGCAATTGACAATAATGATACAGGTAATAATAATAATAAACAAAAATTAAGGTAAAGTATAAATGCAAATAATTGTTTTATTAAATAAATAAATAATTAATTATATTTTTCATAGCATGCTAATTGAGCTGAAAAATGCAATTGATGAGTTTTTAGAAAAATCAGCATGTCAAAATTTTCTAGACACTATAACTGTTAAAATACTAGAAAATTATCAACCATTGAACTATACAATTGACCAGGATCGTTTGAATGGAAATTTTATGTATACATTGAAATTGTTTGGTCAAAAATTTATGCAAAAATCGACATTAAAAAAGTTATATTTTTAGATAATTATTTTCTTTTTAAAATAAATTTATAAATATATTTATACAGTAATTAATTTATTACTAATTAATTAATTAATTTAATTAAATTTTTTTTACAGTAACTGCAACATTGACATGAATTTAATGAAAACTGTTGAAAATTTTCATTTAAAATATTTTAATACTAAAATTGATATCTGAAATACTTAAATATAAATTTTGTAATTTCACTGTCTATTGATATAATATTGTTATATACAATATAAATAAATAAATCTACTTTATCATATTATAAAAATTTATTTTAAAAATGTAATTAAAACTTTTTTTTATTAAGTGTTATGTACTTGTTATTTTTTTAAAAAATAAATAAATAAACTAAACTAATATATAAAATTATCATTTGACATATTTTAAGTAATTAATTGATTACTTAATACGTCTATAATTTATCTTAATAAATGTAATTAATTTTTTGATATTTTAAAAATATTTATTTTTTTCAGTAATTAATATTAAATATTGATAATATATAACTTATATAACACTTATTACTAATTATATTAATATAATAAATTTATTTTTTTAAATATTTAGTTTAATTATTATTAATCACAAACACTTAACTACTTAATTATGTGTTAATTGTTTTTTTTGTAATTTATAATTATCATCAACAAAAATACTAAATGATTATTGTTATTTAACTTAGATTTAAATTGAAAAACTTAATACATTATAAATATTTACACTTAAATTAAATCTGATTTTTTTTCTAAAAAGGTATTACAATATTAATAATAATTGTAATTAATAATATCTATAAACTACTTATTATTTACTTAAATATTTATTAATAGTTAGAAATAATTAAATGTTATTGATAATATATTTTTTTTGTTGAATAATTTCATTAATAATCAATTAATTATTATTTTTACGGATATATATATATATATATATATATATATATATAATTTATTATTAATTTTATCTTTTATTTTTGCATCAATGATAAACTAATAAATATAAATTGTATATATAAATATGTTTATTTTTTTAGTTTATTAATTTATTTAGATTTATTTAGATTTATTTAGATTTATAATTTATTTATTTTTATTTAGATATATTATTAATATTATTTATTATCACTCTATATATATATATATATATATATATATATTACAGTCTATCATCAGTTATTTGCAACCCTATTTATAATTTCATAATTAGTATAAATAATTATGCAAAATGATTATGTTGATCTTATTAAAAATATATTTGACAAAATCAATGCTATCAATTATATTAGAAATATAATCGATTATCAAGTAATATATAATCCAGATACATTTGGTGATTCATATATTAGGCTAACACCAGAAAACAACATTGGGTAATTAAATTTAATTTTTATTAATAAATTATTATATATTATAAATAATTGTTTTAATAATAATAATAATAATAATTTTATTTAGACTTATTAAATCGTTAAAACAATATATTATATATTATGTTAATAATGCCTATGAAAACAATTTGCTAACTATTGATGATTTAAACAATATTATTGGCTATCGATCTGATCGTCGATTAAATGATTTTCGTAGATGTTATGAAACATTGTTAGACGATATTCAGCGTCTAATTGGAACAATAATATTACAGCAAAACAATGGCCAGTATGTTATTATTATTAGTTTTTTTTAATAATAATAATAATATTTTTTTTTAAATATTAAATAATTTAATATTTATTTTTAATGTTTGTTTGTTTGTTTGATCATAGACTACATTATCTTCAGCTAAGACTACTTAATAGTTTGGAAACGTTTCGCGAAAACTATTATCACAGTCAACGAAATATACATTAAATTATGGATTTTAATTATTTTTTTTTATTTATTTTTTTTATTGAAAAATTTATAATTTTGTATTTTTTAATGAAAATAAAATAAAAATTTTAGAATTTAATTTATTATATATATTAATAATAATAATTAATATCGCTATGGTATTTTATTATATTTAATAATATATATTATTTATAAATATTTTTTTAAAAATTTTATTAATGCTATTTTATTTGAACAAAAATCAATTGACAATATAAATATTTTTATTATTGATATATATTTATTTAATAACATTTTTTCTAAATATAAAATTGTTATTTTATTTTTTTGTAAAATTAAAACATTTATTTATTTAAAATTTTTGAAAAAATACTACTGTACAATAATAATATATAATTTTTTAAATATGTAACCTAAAAATATATTATTAAAAAATTTAATTTTAGGCCAGGTATTACACCAACAAAAAATATAATAATTTTTAAATTATTTTTTTTGTACAAACTATTAAATTCTTGTAATTGTAACCTTTAATATTGTATTTTCACTTAACTGTATGTTGTACTTTGGACGTATTGTATTTTATTTAACAATGTATATTACAATGTTAGTATTGCTAATACTTTAGTTATGTTGTAATAAAAAAATATATCAATAATAATAAAATAGGGATGAAATACATCCTCTTATTTTTAGAGTATATACACTTAATATATATATATATAGATATTTAATTAATCAATTTAATTATTAAAAATATTTATTACAATCATATAAACAAGTTAAATGTTAAGTAGGTTTAAATGTTAAGTTAATATTTAATTATTTTATTTAATTGTTAATATCAATTATTAAGTAATTAAATTAACAATAATAATGTTATTGTTTTTTGAAATAATTTAATCAATAGATAAATAACAATTACTTTCTTATTAAATTAAAAACATCAATTAATAAATATTTTATTAATTAATTATTGATGAAAAAACACTTATTTTACTTAATCATATGTTAAGTATTTTTTTAATTATTAATTATCAACTATTCAAGTATTTAGTAAAACTATTACTAATTGTTAATTAATTTTTAGTTTAGTTTAGTTAAAATAATTTTAAATTAGTTAATTATTTTTTTATTTAATTATATAAAAATAATATATAAAAGTTATTTATTATTTAACAATTAATTAATACAGTATTATAATAATAAAAAAATTAAATTACTTAATAATTATTGACCAATTATTAACTACCTACATATTAATTGTTATTGCAATTAACTATTTATATAGATAGTAATTATCATATTTTTAAAAAATTAATTAATAATCTTTAGAAATCAATTAATATTTCTAAAACTGTAAAATCAAAGTAATGTCAAAGTATTATATATATATATATATATATAAAATTATATATATATATCGATAATTTTAAAGCATATGATTGATAATAAATAATATATAAATAGAAAACAAAATTAAAAAATTAATTATTATATTAGTAATAGTTAAAAACTAGATTTATTAATTAGTTAAGTTTTATATTTAATATTTATTTCATATATATATTTATATAACTTAATAAATGTAATTAATAATTTAAATGGACGAAAATAATAATAATTTAACAAAACATCAAGCAACAAATTCAATAGTAAATAATCTAGCCAAGGTAAATGGTAATGGCCTAGTAAATGGTAATGGCCTAGTAAATGGTAATGGCCTAGTAAATGGTAATGGCCTAGTAAATGGTAATGGCCTAGTAAATGGACATGGTGCTATAGTAAAATTATATATACCTAGCCTGGACAATGGTCTAGAGTTTACCATTCAAGATATCATTGATTATATTTATATACTATGTTGCAAATTGAAAGATTCAATTGATACTGATACTAATATTAATTTATCAACTAGACAAATTATGTCTATTAAACAAAAAATAAGGTATAATTTTTTTCATATAAAAAATAACATACATATTATTAAATAACAATATTTTTTATTTTTAGCATGCTAATTGAACTAAAAAATTCAATTTACAAGTTTATCGATAAATCAGCCAGTCCAAATTTCCTTGACGCTAATACTAGAAAAATATTACTAAACTATCAACCCATAACCTATACGATTGACCTGGATCGTTTGAACTCCAATTTAATGTTTGCATTGAAATTATTTGCTAAAAAAATTATGAAAAAAATTACACCCCATAGGTATTAACTAATATTTAAAAAAATAAGTAACTAAAATATATTAATTATTAATTAATTTAATTTTATATATATATTTTTAATATTTTTTTAGTACTTGGAACAATGAAATGGATATAATTAAAAATGTTAAAACATTTCATTACCAATATTTTACAATAAAACTTGATATATAAAAATTGTATAAACTATGTATAATTATATATATATATATATATATATATATATTGATTTATTGATATGATTTTAACATTATTAATAAAATTAAAGATAATATTAGAAAATTATTTATTTTTGCAATTATGATATTAAATTTTTAAATATATTATTAAAACAATTTTTATATATAATAATTTTTTCATATTATATAAATTATATTAAGTTTTAATTTATAATAAATTGTTATTAAATTTTTATATACTTAATAATAAACTATGTTTTGCCTTGCAATTAAAAAAATTGATTTAAAAACTGTTAATATTTTTTAAAAAATAAATAATTAACTGCTATATCAGTATTATTAATAAACTACTCTAAAAAATTATAATACAATACATTTTTATCTTAATAAGTATTGATTATCTAATTTAAAAAAATATTTAAGTGATCACTCTCTAAATTGTTGACATTTAAACTTTAACTATAATATATAATAATAATAATTAACAAAATAAATATTAATAAGTGTACTTTGGATCAATTGAAATTGAAATTTATTTTTTTGTTGTTGATATTATTATAATACAATAGTTATTAATAAATTTGCTAGTATTTATTATATTTAAAAAAAATTATCATATTATATATATAAACTAAATTTTTGATAACAAAACATTTCAATGGTAATATCTAATAGTATTATTATTATTATTATTATTAAAAAATAATTGTATATAAAAACAATATATAACTATTATACAAATAATAGTAGATTATATGTTGTTAAATAAAAATTAGCAATATTATTTAATTAACATAATTATGTTTTTTTTTAAATTTTTAATTTAATAATTAAAAAAATTAAATCTACATAATAATTTAAATTTCTAATCTTTATATATTTTTGTTATTATAATTAATTTTAACTTAATTTACTCAACATAATTAATTAACTTAAATAAATATTTATTAATTAAGTGACTAGTATTTTTTAAAAAAAATAATAAATTAAATA